GAGAGAGAGAGAGAGAGAGAGAGAGAGAGAGAGAGAGAGAGAGAGAGAGAGAGAGAGAGAGAGAGAGAGACTGTGACTCAAACATTGAATCTGTATAATATGGTGCTTCGCTGATGAGCGCCTGTGACTCAAACATTGAATCTGTATAATATGGTCCTGCGCTGATGAGCGCTTGATGACACAAACTCTGGCTCTGTACAATAGGATGATTCATTGAAGTTTATGAGCAGCGCTAATCTGATCTCTCCATCTCTGGACTTGGTCTGGAATTTGTGTGAACTCTTATGATGCATGTGCTTGGAGTGACGACATGAGTGGCTCATTGTAATTGGTATCAGCCTATCAGGGCTGGAACCCGCTGCATCCGTTGAAGTTGGTCGCCGGCAAGAATAAGGCCGGCGAGAAGCGAGTTTGGGTTCCACCTAGGGATGATGGCCGAAGAAGTGGCCTAGGTCGAGTCTAGGGCAGAGGCTCGGCAGCTGGATGAATCACCCGACAAGTAGGGAGCATGGGCATGAGTGGCGAGTGCTCATAAAACAACTCGTCTAGCCCTAAGACCGGTACTGTAATGAGCCCAGTCTCATCAAACAATCATGCCGTTAGATAGCAATGTCGTGAGATAACAATGTCGTGCAATGTCGAGATAATCAGTCCATCTAGTCCATCAATTCGAAGTCGTTGGAGTATATGATCCTTCCTAACCATGTGTAAAGTCTCCAGTCAAGAGTATCCAGACTCGAACAGAGAGGGGAAAGAAAAGACAGATGGAAGGAGAAGAATATCATAGCAATCAAGTCCCTCTTCTCCTCCAGGCTTCCCCACCTCTGCCACGTCAGCAATCTTCACACAGTATGACACGTGGACAATGTAAATGCAGCCCCTTGCAGATGGTTGATCCTTCAGCAGCTAGCAGAATCAGCAGCAGCATCACATCAGGTGAGACTAGGTACGTACACACGACATCACATCTCGCCCACACACTCTCTCTCTTTTCTCACTATCTCACCGTTGTCTATGGTCGCATCAATGGCTGCCTTCCCTCTCCTCTCCTACTACAGCATCTGGCAGGCGCCTACAAAACAGCCTGGCCCCAGCGTCCTCCTCTCAAGTCTCACGTGCAGCATTGAAGCCGCAAGCAACTCGCAAGACTGAATGTCCAAGTAGTGGCGAGGTCAACTCTATATAGTGTTGACTCGCATTGTCCGGGGTCATCTTTTGTCCATGCGAGGCCCCAGATCATTCGAATGTCGACGACTGAGATGCAGTTTGCCCCAGTTTCGGTTAGGACTTCTTGATACCTGAATCTTCCGGAACCTGCAGACCATTGTTAGATCATTCCCGAACTACGGCAGTATGTGTTGACTTTGACTTCTCGGATCTGGGCCTGGGTCCACAAGTTGACTGTTGACATATCGGTCAACTGTCAGTCTGGGCCTCTTCCTAGGGGCTGTTTGACCTTTTTTGCAGGGCCTGCCTGTTCGTGCTTGTTTGAGGGTGCAATCAGAGCCCAACGGCTCAATTTTGGCACACAAGTTACAGCATTCCATCCTGCCCGATTTCAAGTTCCACCGCAGAAGTTCCATTTCAGGCTTGTATTCTTAAACCTCTCTCGTATGCAGAGTCGATATCAGGAGCGCTAGGTAGGAGTTTCCTTCTACTAAACCAGCGAGCTTCAGACGGCGGTTGATTAGAAAACCTTGCCTTGTATTGCTTCTAAGGTCTTCCTCTAGTTCCATTGGAGGAAAACCTGTGTTCAATGATTTGCTCTACTTGGTACCCACCATCCATTGAAGGAGGAAACGAAGACGGTCTTCTTGGGGACTCCTGTCCTTCAGCATAGGGTAACAACTTAGATGCGTGAAAGACTGGGTAGGTCTTTAGATGAGGGGGAATGTCAATTCGGTAGGGAGGTCCACCGGCTTCCCCTATAACTTTGAGAACTTCCCAGGGTCCATAGTAGACGGGTAGCAGTTTCTGCGAGACATTTTCCTCAAGTGAAAATTCGTTGGATTCAAACCAAACCATATCTCCTTCTTTGAATTGTGCAGGCCTTCTATGTTTGTTTGCCTATTCAATCATCTTCTGTTGGGCTTTCCTGATATTCTATCTTTCAATGTCTTGCTCAATGCTCATAGAGAACTGCAAATTCTTGGGTTCTTGGGGGCACCCTTTGGATCTGATCTTGCATGTCAATCAGTCTCAGAGGTTGTCATTCTTTGTGCAATGCATTGGGTGTTTGTCTGGTAGAAGTATGTATACAGTTATATGCACTTGCAATCTTGGGTAGGTTCTCATCCCAGTCAATCTGGTCAGGGCGCACATACATGCATAGGAGCTGTTGGCACAACTTGTTCATTGTTCGGTTTGGCTGTTAGTCGCAGGATGCCTTCTTGACAACACTGCCAATTTGGTGCCGTAAGCTTCCATCAGTTCCCACCAAGATTCTTCGGTGAATCTCGACACAACGGTTGTAGGAAATCCATACTCAGAAACCCATTGCATATGAAACTTTTGAATGACAAGTTCTATTCTTGCCTCAGCGGGCAAGGGTACAAACATAACGTACTTAGAGAATCTGTCCACGATTACCATTACGTGACTGTTTCCATTTTGACTCTTAATTAGGCTCATGAAGTCGATGGAAATGGACTCACCTGGTCTTTCAGGGACCGATAGTGGTCTGAATTGTCCCAAAGGACTCTCGAGGGATGGCTTGTTGCGCTGACACACAAGACAAGTTCTCACGTACGTTAGTGTGTCATCCTTCATTCCTTGCCAAGACAAGTTCCGACTGTTTCCATTTCGACTCTTAATTAGGCTCATGAAGTCGATGGAAATTGACTCACCTGGTCTTTCAGGGACCGGTAGCAGTCTCAATTGTCCGAAGGGACTCTCGTGGGATGACTTGTTGCGCTGGCACACAAGACAAGTTCTCACGTACGTTAGTGCGTCATTCTTCATTCCTTGCCAAACAAAGTGTTCTCGGACATTGGCAAAAGTCTTTCTGAACCCAAAGTGTCCCTCTGTATCATGGCACTCACCAAGAATTAGACTCTTTGTAGGTTCATTATGTGGAACACAAATTCTTTGCTCTTTTTTTTTTTTTTTTTTTTTAAAAAAAAAAAAAAAACACCCCCACCAGTGTTAGTGGTGCTGATAAGAGCAGACACCACTAGCACCTGGGGAGAGGCTCCATCTATTGGTGGGGAGCGTCACCTGCTGGAAAGCGGGTCCAGTGTCCCTTACACAGACTGAATTTAGAATGCCTTTGAAAAATGTGGTGTGCTCCTGCCAGCATTGATTGCCCTGGGATCCAGGGGATTAACTGAGCAGGATTTTGGGAGGAGGGGGAACCTCTTCGCCCTGCATTCGGCGCCAGATACGCAGCTGCACGCTAGTTCCTCCCTTCCCCTGCAGCACATGCTGGGAACCGGGCGCAGCGTCCCTTATGAATTGAAACTTTTATCACCAGCTGGACAACGGGTCCAGCGTCCCATCCCCAAAGCAGAAGCCAAAACTGAGAAAGGAAGCTGCCAGCATTGATTGCCCAAAAAACAATGAACTTCCTATGCTGAGAACTAATCTGGCCGACTGAAGCTGCCCATTCAATCTGCTCCATACCATTGCATCTCCACCATCGCCAGCTTGTGGGGCGGGAAAGGGTCGGGGAATTCTGTGGCAGGCCACAGCGGGATCTCCTGGCCCACCGTAGTCCAGTCTCTGAAGCAGATGCGGTAGTCCCTCCTGAATTCCTCCTGATTGTCCTCCTGGGGGGGGTTACCCTCCCATTTAACTGATGCGATCCAGCCCCCATTCTCCCCGCCCAACCAATCCTCAGAAAAATGATGAATTGCTTGTGCAATGTCTTTTACTGTATGATATAGATCAAGTTGGTTTTTCATTTTTTGCCAATGTATCATGATTTCTTGTTGAATGTATTGCCTTATCATGTCTGTTGACTCTTCCCCCGTTATGCGGACTCCCTCCATAACGTGTATGCAACGTTTTCTCCAGAGGGCCCACATGACCGCTCTTCTTCCCAATTTGAACATGTTATTTTCGAAGGTGTTCTCAGTGGGGGAGGACCATGCTTCGCATAATATGGCCCGCCAATCCCATGGCCAGTGAGAGTCAGTGCCCAGCCGAGTCCAAATCCTATCCCACCATCGCCATGTGAGCACTGCCCCTGGGCACTGCATGAATATGTGCTCTATGGTTTCCGGGATTCTGCGGAGGGGAAAGGCAGTG